CGTCTAGAACTCTCTTGATGTTACTTGTTGGTGCACGCAGACTGTCTCATTTAGCCTTCAGAATATTTCCTAGAAGCATTCAATCACAAATTGTTAGAAGAAGAGATAACCACCATGACCTACATCCGACAAATTCTATCTTGTATCCATGCTGACATTGTGTCCATATTTTCAGCAATTGTGAAGGCCTTCACATTTCTAGCACCGAACACTGGTGTGAGTGTAGGAACAACTTGACCATCGTAACTTAAATCAATCGCTAGTAATTTGTAACCCTGAATAGACGAAATTTTGTATTTCAAGAGGGTGTGATGAACTGATACCTCTTTGGAAAGATCCGTGTAAGCATCGCGGAAGTCATCCAGAGATCTGAAAGAAGACATAAATAGATTAGAAATGGACTCGGAATATGGATGAAAATGACTTTTGCGACACCTACTTTTGGCTCATGAACACCACAGCAAATGGAGGTCCAAAGTTCGTGATTACTGAGTCAGGACTATTATGAAATCCTTCCATTGAACTAAAATGATCAAAACCACGGTGAAGATACATCACATTTGGTATCTGTCAGACGTACGCTCCAGCATTCAGCGTAAACATTCCAAAATTCTCATCGTCCGTTATTTTGTTGATATCACCACCTATATCGTCTGTACTTCGAGCTTTCCCTCCCGAGATATAAGTCGCTGCCATTCCTGGAAATGCTCCCTGTTAACCAACTATTTTCTGGCTAATTGATCAACTCCTAGGGAACATTCCTTGAATGCAAGAAAAACTTAGCAATCAGAAATTTTGATCTCAATCAACATCTGGTTTATCATATGACATCACTTGCTCGTTTCGAAATTGAACAGAATAATGCTCAGAGACAAAGTAATTACGTCCTCGACTTCAAATCACAGAGAAGTCTTACATAAAGAGACACACGTGCATAGAATAATGACCTTATTGCAACCACACCGCGATTTACAAACCAATTTAGAGCTTCGAATTTAACGTTTACATAAAAGTGAGATAAATTTACTTTTGCGTGAGGTAAAGAAATATGATACAGTGTGCATTCCCACCACCATTTTTGAGCAGAAGCCTATACACAGACGCGATTTTTCCCTATTATTTGTATCTCAATAACGCATACTAAAAGCTCATAACTCATTTCAGAGTCATGCTTTGCAGCTCAGGCAGCATATTTGAAATCAGCGTTGGAAGTTGATTCCGAATAGATGCGTCGTTTTTCAAAAGTTCAAACTAACTCAGGTGCCCTCCCACGTTAGTTAGAACAAAACTTAATGGCCCGTAGTAAACCCCCTCTCAGCCCATCTCGGCTGAGGGCATGCCTAAGTTGAACGTAGAACGCCTCAGCCCGGCATCCAATGGGCTATCAATCTGGATGCGGATCGCTTTCTAGATATAAAAGGTCTTGAGCATTCTCAAAACGACAGACTTCGTGTAGCTTTGGCCGAACGGCTAAGTGAGTGGAATTCTACG